CCTCCAGCAGGAGATCCAGACGGTGAAGGAGATCCAGCAGCGCTTTCCCGGCTTCCGCGGCGTCCCGGTTTACAACGACGAGGCGGACCCCCTGGTGGGCTGGTCCAGGCCTGAGGAGTGGCGGGCCGACGTTACCTACGCCGCCATGGTGGTGAAGGTGAGAGCGGTGAGGCGCAGACAGGAAGTAGGGATGTTTCCTCATCCTCTGTGTCTCCTCGGATCAGGTCATCAAGCAGCACCAGGACCTTCTGGCCGACCCCAACAGCACCGTCAACTACACCCTTCTGAGCAACGACAACGCCTTCCTGAGTTACCACCCCCACCCGTTCACTCAGCGCACGCTGACCGCCCGCTTCCAGGTCAACAACACGCAGCCGCCTCACGTCCAGCTGCTCCGGAAGCCCGTCCTCTCCGTCATGGGCCTGCTGGCTCTGCTGGGTCAGAACCTTTTACTTCCTGGTTGGATTCTGACGCTCCTCTTGCTGCTAAAGTTCTATGTCTGTTCGCCGTTTCAGGAGAAGCTCAGGTTCCGGCTCGTGTTTCAAACCCAGAACCCGAGCAGAACGGGACGCTGGGCGTCCTCGCCAGCATCCACACACCAGTGGTCCGCGGCGGCTCCGACAGCTGGCAGGCGGCGGTGCTGGTCTACAACAGCGACGACAACAGCACCTCTGGGCCCGCTGATGATGTCACCGTGGTTCTGAGAGGACTGGCCCAGCAGGAGGGTAGGAGCTGTTTGGTTCTGCCCGTTCAGACGTTCCGGCTCGGTCCGGCTCAGGTTCTGTTTGTGATCCAGGTCTGGTGTACGTCACCTACTACATGGATAACGGCGTGAGCAGCCCGTACCGGCGCTGGCAGAGCATGGGCCGGCCAGACTTCCCCACGCCCCAGCAGTTCAGGCTCCTCAGGAGGCTGGAGGTAACGGACCGCCTCTGCAATTCTCTCTAATCGGAACCTTTCGACCCGCTGACGTCCTGTCCCTGTTAGGACCCCCGCTCCGACGGACCCCGCAGAGTTCCCTCTGGAGACACCCTGACCCTGAGAGCCCAGCTGTCTCTTCCTTCAGTCCTGCTGGTCCACGTCTGTGCCCGCCCTGACGCGGCGCCGGATCAGGTGGGAGGAGCCTTCTGTCGGTGGTCGACTGGAACACAGAGGAAGCAAACACTCTGTTTGTTCTCACATTGATTCATAAACATGTTTGATTAATCAGGAATGAATAACAGGAAGCAGAACGTCACTGAATGAGATGCAGTTACAGCAGCTGCCTTTAGGGGGCACTCCATCTGGGTGGTGCTGCTCTCTGACATCCTTTAAACAATTTAATTAGTCAGGGCCGACCAGATGAAAGGGTTCAACGCTAATAATGAACAACCCATGAAACATGGCGCTGGTTGTCCTTCCAGATTGTTCCTGCTCCGCTGTGAGGAATGACTCATTAAAGGAATAGTACACCCAAAA